CCCCCCCCGGCCTCCACCCTCCCCCCCACCCCCACCACACCCCAGCCGTTACGAATCCCAAAAACGGCGGGACTGGAACACCTTCCTCCAATATCTCCGGAACCACAAACCGCCCCTCACTCTCTCCCGCTGCAACGGGGCCCACGTGATCGAGTTCCTCAAATACCTCGACCAGTTCGGGAAGACTAAAGTTCACGCTCCAGACTGCCCCCATTTCGGGCAGCCCAACCCGCCCGCCCCCTGCGCCTGCCCGCTCCGACAAGCTTGGGGATCCCTCGACGCCCTCATCGGCCGGTTACGGGCTGAAGAAAGCGGCGGGCGGCCCGATTCCAACCCGTTCGCCACTAGCGTCGTCAGAGTTTATCTCAGGGAAGTCAGAGAATCGCAGGCTAAAGCTAGAGGTATTCCTTACGAGAAGAAGAAGCGAAAACGGCATATAGGAACAGTTTCTTCCCCTCCTTCTTCCTCTTCAGCTTCGGCTTCTACTTCAAAGGCTCCGGAGAAGTCCGGCGAGGGTTCCGTTGGCGCCGGCGGCGGAGTAGTATAACTATCTTCTTCTTCTTCTTCTTCTTTTTTATTTTCTCTCTCTCTCTAGCTTTTTTTTTAATTTTTAATATTAATTTTCTTTTTTTGTTACAATTGAGTGGTAATTGAGAGGGATTTGGGGTTTTGAAGAAGAAAATCTTTTATTATTATTATTATTTTTTTGTTGCTGTTGAAATACGTAATTGTTTAGGAGTGCAGGGTTCTGTAATTATTCGAATTTTGGAGTGATTTAGAGCAAATAATGGGTTTAGTTTGGAGTATTTATATATATATATATATATATATATATATTCAAGATTGCATATATATATATATATATATATATTAAAAGGTTAGAATGTGTATTATAATTACGTCACTGGAAATAATTATGGGGATAAGAGTGAGGGATTTGCACGTCTTGTTTTGATTAGATGATGAAACATTAAAAATGATATTTATATTTATGTATTTTATATACAAAATACATGTCTTATATTACGTAATATTTGCTTTTTTTTTTTTTGCTTTGTGATTTGTTTTATGAATGGATTTAATTTCATTTTTTCTATGAAATAACTTATACGGTTACATGAGAGAAATCATTATAAAACAACTTATATATTTACATAAAAGTGCTAAATTTATAATTTACTTTCATGAAATTGCCCCCCACCTTAACGGAAAAAAATATTGCTTGCCGTTGTCTATCCGTATATGCAGATAGTCGTTGAGATTCTTGACAACATCACTCGCTCTGTAAATTTATGAGGAGTGATCCGATCAAATCTCAACGGCTATCCGCATATACGGACGTCATACACGTAATATTTTCTCGCCTTGATGATTTTATATGGTTCTCTCTAAACCTTTATTATTTTTTCTTCTTTGTTACAATTTGGTGGCAATTGAGATAGCTAATTAGGACTTATTTTATTTGTTGAAAAAAGAAAAGCAAATAAATGAAATGTGAAATAAATACAATATAAAAAAATGTATTGTATTTGCAACATCTTTGGAATTATATGAATCAATGTAAATGAATAAATAAATACTAGATTTTATATTTTATTGTTTGAATATGACGAATTCTAATTATAAAATAAATTTAAATTACATCATTGCATTTGTTTCTTTTAGTTACTGCCATAACAATTCTTGTTATTGCGCGGGGAGCATGCTTTAATGAATCATGGTTATTTATGTAAATATTTCAATGAAAAAGATGACCCGATTGCCAAGTTGTTTCTTGTTTCAGTTTATTCCCCTTTTATGTTAGTTATTTTAAAGCAGTTGCATTTACGTACATAAAAATTATTATAATTACAATTGCAAGATTTTGGATTCATTTGAGAAGATATTGCGATATAGTGAACGCTGATGCTTGCGTCTCCCTAATTTATTTGCAAGAACGGTAATTTTTCGCATTTTCATACAGCCATTGAAAAATATTCCGTCCGGAAGAAAATTCCGTTAGAAAGTCCACACTTGCGGTCGATGGTTAGTCGTCCAGACTTGTGGTGCCCGGACGGTAGGGGTGTAAACGGGAAAAAAAATTGTGTACGTAAGATGCATGCAGAGCTGCATACGTCAATAAACTACAAATATGTTACAGGGAGGGTATTGGGGAGTTAAATCTGTATTATATCCCATATAACATCTCTGTAACTTACAAATATATGAAAAAAGAAGCGCGGAACGTACTAAAAGTTATTTGCAAAAACCGTAATTTTTCATCGTTTTAGACCGAGGAGGACCATCTCTATACCTGAAAAAAAAAAAAAATCTATCCGGACGCCCGCATGTTCGAACGTCCAACCACCGACCGTTACGTCATCCACCGATGATGTGTATGACAACGTGACTGTCAGTGGTTGGCCGTCCGGACTTGCGGTATCTACTATCATTTCAAAAGAATTTCACAAGTTGCTTCAAATAAAACCTAAATTTATACTATATAGTTAAAAAAATAAAAAAAAAACTTCTATTTAGCCGATGATCTCAATGGAATTAGTACTAACTATTTAGTTTAAATGAAAAAATTTCAGAACAGATAAAATTATTTTGAAATTTTAAAATTGTAAATATGATATATTTAAATAAAATTCAGTCGAGTTCATTTGGCTTGATTTGAGTTTTAAACCGTCTTAAAGTGTTTTACAATCTCAATATTTTCGGATCAAAATTAAACTGGAGTCAAGGCTCTATTTTAACCATAACCGATCATGATATTATTAGAAAAATAAATTGACATATTTCATGACCCAAAAGTGAATCGGACAATGAAAAGGTCTTGAGGGCAAGCTTGTACTTTTATATTTGTTCTCCAATAATCTATATATATGAGGATATTTTATGTATAAGGAGACTCTGAGTCATTTTGGCTCTCTCCTTCTCCTGTAAATACTCTTTTAATATATGAAATGGGTCTTAGAGGGGAACACCCCCACTTTTACCTCAGCTTCTTTTTCATCTCTCTCTCTCTCTCTCTCTCTCTCTCTCTCTCTCTCTCAGTTCTCACGCTCTGTTCCTTGGGCATGATCTACTTGCTATATTCGAATTCAACAAATGGTGCAATGATTGTGGACATGCTATCAACAAGAAGATGAGTGACACCAAGGAAAACAAAAAATCACAAAAAATCCTAGTAGAGAGCACAAAAGAGAAAAACAATGCAACATTAAATCCATATCATTGAAATAACTCATGTGCATCTCTCATCGGATGACTCGCAGCCAAATTTAATCGGTTAAAAGTTTCCAGCCAATGCAAAATTCCAGCCAATCGGCTATTTCCACCGATCAAGTTTAAATCTTCCAAACCGGCTGAAATCCCAGTCGACGCCACAATTCCCGTTGCCCGATGGGGACAAAAGACGAAAGCTCTGCCAGTTGCTGAAAATCCCAGTAGGTTGCAGCAAATCCAGCCAGACAAAATTCACAACATCAGCCAGTCGGAACCTTTGACCGGGAGAAAACAATCTTGTCGATCGATAAAATCAGATAACCGAAAAATCAGCCAACGAAGGATGAGAGAAAATGTGATTTTTTCGCCATCGTCAGAGAGGTGGATGACTGCAAACTCTTCATGCTGACACCGGTAGACTTCTTCCCGCAGACGGATGGCGATCAAAACTCGTCCTTAGATGACCGAAAAATTCTAGCGATCAAAAATTTATGTCGACCAACAATTATAGACAGTCGAAAATCCATATGACTGGATATTGTTCAATTTGAAAATCACTGGCAGCTGATGCTCCCGGACGACTAAAAATCCATCTGGGGCAAATGTCACGGCTGATAAACCAAAATCCCATATGCTACACAAAAAGCATTTTATCAACCGTCCGACCGATCGATCACCTTTGTGACGGTCTTCCCACTCTCTCTAGAAACCTAAAGACTTGACCTTAGGGCTTCCCTGATGGCCTTCCTAAATCACTAAAGGAGCTACTCATCTAAAACCAAGACCATGTTCACTTCGACCTCGTGAGGTTAAGCTCAGACCCTCAATCCCATGGTTGGGTTGGTTTAAATTTTTGGCCTAATAGATACCTAAGCTGACCCCTTTTGAGTAAGGCATGTTCTGGGTTACGCATGGAACCCAAAAACCTAGGAGTCTCTGAATGAACCCTTGGACCCCCCATGACACAAAATTTTCCAAAATGAAGGAACACTTAACCAAATTTGTCCTTAGGCCCACTTAAGGCCTTCCCAACCCTAATTGACATCAAATCAACATGACATGCCACCCACCAATTTGAACACTAAGGATTAGAAACCACTATGGGTTATCAAAATAATTGGGCCCAACCTAATTTGGGTCAATTAGTGGACAATTGTCCCTAAAACCTAGCTTCACTCAAAGTGGTTAAGACCTTAAACCACATAAGGGCCAAATTGACACTATGTCACCAACCTCCATAATTTATTTAATTATTTAGTTATGTAAATTGTGGAAGCTCATTATGCTTGGGCTTTTGGGCTAAACCTAAGCATATTTAGGTTAGCCATAAACCCAAAAATATGAAGCCCATTGCCCATCTCCCTCATGACCCATCCTTCATAGGTTACCCATGACATAACTGCAACCCATCATGGCACATGGGCGACATAATTTTTAAATTAAACCTAGCACTAAATGAAAAGATTGGCACACCTAGCCATGCCACTCAACACATGGAACCTAGGTCATGGCTCTTTGGACCAGCCCATGGTGGGTCAAACTAGACTAAACCTGGTCTTAGCCACCCACCAAAAGGCTTACCCAATCAACCCAAGCACTCTCTCATGCCGACAAGAATATCTTAAACGACGTAACTCATGATTGCCGACAAGAATCTTTTGGTCGGAGTATGGTTTGTCCACCTCTCGGAATAAGTAGGTTAGGGAACCTGAAAAGTCAGAAATGATGGAAAGCCATGGGCATCTTGACATGGTTGTCTTAAATAAAAATAAGAATTAATCAATCAAACAAAAATTATTTTATGTTAACTTTGTTTGCAAGGCTACTAAAGACAAACGGTGGACGTCTCCCTAGATTTACTTTGCATGTTATTAGGGTGTGCTCACTCTTTTTGCAAGGATGATCATCCAAACTATCCAAAATATGAAGCGAAGAATGAACCTTAACTAAATCATTAACAACAACATGGATAATGTTGATTGGGATTTGTAATCCTATCTTTTTTTGGTGGGCTTCGAAACCAAGATTGTTCGTTTAGTTACGACGTAAATCCTTGATTTTAGGCATATGCATGATCGTACATCGTGCAACATAAGCCCTAATCTCCTAAATAAAATATTAGGAGTACAATCTGAAATTACTTTTTAGAGCAACACAAAATCATAGGATCGGGATCCTGATAGGGCTCTTTCAAGCCCCTAAGCATCCCCTACCCTTTTATCTATGATAGGGCATTATATTCCCTTCCTTGAAATAAACAAAATTCAAACTTCCTGAGGGCAAATTACCACCTTAATTGGGAATATTCTTTAGCACCCCTAGTTGCTTAAGATGTAATTAATTATAGAAACTTGCTCTTATAGGAAGAGCGAACCTCATAACAGGTACATTAACCTAAACCTCTAGTTGTTTGTTTGCTTTCATAGGCTCTTCTTTGTAGGCGTCTCAAAAGTATCTCGAGCTGATTTTACCTCGAACATATACTTTGGAGCTGCCTACGTGGAGTTCACTTCATGAAAGCTCCCCC